TGAAGTGATCAAATAATTTTTTTTTTTTTTTTGCACATTTCAGTTATGAATTGAACATGAAAAATTGTACAAATACTACATACCTGATATGCAGATTTCAGGGGTTGAATTACAATACGGTGCTACTATGAAAAAAGTATTTGGCAAAGGAAATGTGCATGATTTCAGCATTGTGGAAATGGAGGCCTGTACGCAGCTGTGATTATCATCCAGCTGTTGGCTTATTTTATCCAATCCAGCAACCGCTGATGTCATTCTCACCAGCAGGAAGTGGTGTGTCAACAAGAATAACAGTATTTATGAGAGTTTGTTTGCCCTCCAGTTTGTTCATATCCCACACATTGACTCACTCAGTATTTTGTACAATCAAACCTGTAGGGTGCTTGAGAGGAGGTGATGTACCCTGAAGCTGAACGGGCCTGTGGCAGGGAGATATGCTGCTTGCAAAGACACACACACACACACACACACACACACACACACACACACACGCGTGCCTCTTTCATGCATCCTTGCCCCCTCATCCCACACACAGACAGATTCATGTGTATTTCAACACACCTCCAGCACTTACTCTTTTTGAGATTTCTGTGGAGAAAACATTCAGCTTTAGCTCCCAGGTTAACGTGCTCATGGAGAAGAAATACTGTTTAAACATTTGGCACAAAAGAGACAAAAACACTTTCTGCTAAAGTTAGTTCTGAGAAATGCATAATTTGTTGATTTGATATTTTTATGTATAGCAGTTGCCATGACATTTTCACATGTTTTAAGTATCTTAAAGTTGTTATGAAGTGAAAATTTATCCTATTTTCTAAATAAGTTTTTGATCTTATTGTGAACAATTTACCCATGTTTTTTTTTTTTTTGACCTTGTAATTTTTAAACATAACTCAGTCTTCCAGTGAAATGTCTCTCTGGTGATGTATGACAAAGTTCTTCAATCGTTTGGATAGAAATGTTAGATAAAACCAAGTATCAAGTCCCTCCTGGATGGATAGAACCAAGTCCCTGATCTACATTTTTTTTCCTTTTTCGATAATCTGTTTCACTCAGTTATATGTGACAGTGCGGAAAAAAAGATCTGTCGCTATTTTAATATCATTGCAACTTTAAGTGTCTTAGTACTCTTTGCATATGCAGACACAACAGTCCCTCTTTCTTTATTTAGCATGGAGAGCTATGTCAGTTCTTACAGATTGTAAATGGTTTGGCCTTTTTTCATGCCCATTTCATTACCGGTAATGAATTTAGCAGACTAAGCCTGTTGTTTGGGCTTATTGGCTTGGGGAAGTTCCGGTCATGAAGTGAGAAGTACAGATCTAAATCTGGACCTGAGGTGAAAAGCATTGAAAAAAGTAATGTCATTAATGACGAATGCTACACCAGGACTGTTATACAATATGCAGAAGAGTTGAATTTCCCTCAGGCACAGAGAGAAGGAGAGAACAAGAAATTGAATCGAACTTAAAAGTAAATTACGGATGCTATCATTTCTGTATAATTATGTCCATGTCTATTTTCTGATGACGACTATTTTGAGCTCCTCTCTAGATACTATTAGAAGTAAGGTGCAGAGTTTTTCATTCTTTTTTTTGTGGAATGTCTGTCTGAAGACTCTTGTGTCTGATTTGCTGTAGCACAGATGAAGTGTTTTCACTCAAAAAGAGCACATGATTCGCTCAGGACCTGATCCAGATATTGAATGTCACAACACGGAACATTTCTGCAGCACATCCCTTTGAACCTACAAATCAGTTTGATTCTGGCTTGTTTGTAGTGTCTCTCAGAGGTTCGGTTTATCCTGAAAGTGTGTGTTTATTTCTGTGGTTTCTGTACGAAGCCCTGTGATCCCAACATCTGAGGGCCTAATATAACGTACACAAGATACACCACCCACACTCGTGATTGCTCTAGGTCAGGGGTAGACAAGTTCGGTTCTAGAGAGCCGCAGTCCTCCAGAGTTCAGCTCCAACCCTGAAAACAAAACTCACCTGCCTATAGCCTTAGTAATCCTGAAGACATTGATTAGCTTGTTCAGGTGTGTTTGATTAGGGTTGGAGCTGAACTCTGCAGGACTGCTCTAGGTGGTCTGTCCATGTGCTATTAATGTTTTCTGACAAAGTCTGGGCATAAAGCTCCAGCTTTTATTCCTGATTTATGACCTCTTGTTAGTCATAAAGGAAAACTAAAATAGCTAGAGACTCTGTGGCAGTTGCACAGGTGGAGGGATGCAACCTGAAGGGTGCCATCTTTGTTTTATGGGTATTTGGTTACGGAAACATGCCATGTGATTGATCACTGACCAAAGACAGCAGACAGGGAGAAACACAATTTCATGTCACACTTTTAAGAGTCTGCTATATGAAATGATTAAGTATATTATTTGTTTTGCTGACAGTTGACTCTTATGAGTCAGTATTGAACCATTCAAAAAGACGGGATGGGATTTTAAGGCGTTTTTTACGTATTGTTATAACAATTTAACACAAGAAATGCAATTTACGGTCTATTTCAGTTTTCAGTTGTGTTGATTACACTACCCATCAAAAGTTTGGGGTTGGTAAGATTTTTTTTCCTCTTATGCTTATGCTTAGCAAGGCTGACACCAACCATTTTAACAGCTGTTTAACATCTGTTAAGTAAATAGCAATAGCACCCAGTGGTAACACTTTAGAATAGGGAACATTTATTCACTGTTAACTACGACTTTTCATAAATTCCTAATTTGCTGCTTATTAATAGTTAGTAAGGTAGTTGTTAAGTTTATGTATTGGGTAGGATTAGGGATGTAGAATAAGGTAATGTAGAATAAGGGATTAATATATGCTTAATTAGTACTAATAAATGGTTAATATTCTAGTAATATGCATGCTAATAAGCAACTAGTTAAGACACCCTAAAATAAAGTGTTACCCAACCAGTCAATAATCAGTTTGCTCACTCATGTACTCCCAGCTGACCAGAATAAAAGTTATTTTGACACTTGACTAAGTTTACCAAAGGCAAGTTCTCATTGGTCATGACGTTTTAAGGCCGTCAATGTTGTCCTTTTGCTGAATTGATTTCAGGCATGAGCAACAAATGTAGGTTGACATGTAGCTCTAAAGTTGTCTTGTTCCATTAAAGTTTATTTGTCTAAACAGAAGTCATCGGGTGCACATAAGTGTATAGCTATCTGCCCAAATTTCTCTCGGTTGTATGCCTTTCTGTGTCATCCCTTAAGCAGAATTTCACTGTCTCATAACGTGCTTCCATTTGCCAGATGATATAGGAGTGGGAATGGCTCAGGAAAGGTTGATTAACTTGTCATTTCTTCTTATTTGTCTTCTCTTAGGTTCACATTTGCACAACAGGACTCATTGTTACTCCTCCACCAAGCAGTCCTGTCACCACGGCGACAGTTTTCACATTTCCTCCAGAAACCAGCTATGCCTCTATTCCAGTGGTGAGTCTGACAAAGTCCTTAAATTGACTTAGTATGTCAAAAATCTTCATCATCCTGTCCAGTTTATTTAAATGACATTCTTCTAACCTGTGTGTGTGTATATATATATATATATATATATATATATAAACACCCTGTCTGTACAACAGTACTCACTCGCAACGCTATTTCTCAGAACTATGTGAAATGTCAGCCAGGCCATTTTGAGAATTTCTGATTTGACTGATAACCAGTGAATGAACAGAATCATTAAGCTCCTTCTTGGGTCAGGATGAATCAAGTTTTAGCCCTATATAATTACAATGGTTCATGTCTACCAGACACATTCAGAGGACAAATTCCTTAATGAGCATTTACACAAGATGTGTTCTTGTGTTCAAAAGCAGAATGAAACACCGGATGCAGGGGTCTTGACGATATACTGGTATTGACGATAACCATTATTTTATTTTAATTTATTTATTTTTTGAGTGTGAAAACACAAAATAAACAATGTTAAAGAAGAATCCCCCACACACACACACAATTTTTGTAGATATTGCAATAATTCTTTTTGCCACAATAATGATGTAATAAAAATCTTATATTGTGGCAGCCCTAGTCTTGACACTTTTATCTAATAATTTTCTTAAGTTAACTAAATGCATTGTCTTAAAAATGCGATGTTTTGGTCCGTATTTTGAGGCGGTAGATTTTTGTAACTAAATGACGGTTTTGATGCCTGTAGCGGCAATGATTTAAAGGAAATGAATATAGAAGCAACTTCTCAAAGGTGTTTTTTTTTTGTTGTTTTTTTGGTGCTGACAATAACAATGAATTCTAGCACAGTAATTCCCAGCATGCTGTCAGCTAAAAACTTTCTCTTAAGAAGTTTTTTTCTTTTTTTTTTTTTTAATCACCTCCTCTAAAGCACAGCAAAACATTATTAAAGCTGAGTGCTCAATTGTGAATGCAACGTGAACTCCTTGGGTAAGCATATTACCTCAGTTTGAGCATCTGTGTACACAATGTTCAAAAATGTTGGATGTTTTTGAAAAGAAGTCTCTTATCCTCAAAAAGGACGCATTTATTTGATGAAAAAAAGTAAAACTTTATATATTGGTGAATATTATCACAATTAAAAATAACTTTTTCCCTTTTTAATATGTATTTTAACATGTAATTTATTCATGTGATGGCAAAGCTACATTTTCAGCAGCCATGAAAGTGTCCATTTCCAGTGTCACGTGAAAATGTTTTTTGTAAAAAAAAAATCTTTACTGTCACTATTGATCAATTTAAAGCATCCTTGCTGAATGAAAGTATTAATTTCTTTAAAAAACATGTTACTGACCCCAAATTTTGAATAGTAGTGTATCAAACCACAAACACACAAAGTCACATAACCAAAGCAGAATGTCCGCTCTCCCTCTAACATTCTCATAAACATTCACATGCACATGCACACACACTCAAATGCTAATGCTAAACGAGTACAGTTTGTCATCTGATAGCCCTTCATCTCTTTCAACGCAAACATACACACACACACACACACACCATTTCAGGGAGTTGTGTGGTCCTCAGGCTGGACACTAATGGCTCTCTGAAATTGATGTGTATGCAGTGCTGTGCGGATACTCTTTCCTTTTGTTTTCAAAGCATTGTTTTTGTAATGGTGGCCTTAGTGTGCATCAGTTGCCTCTCTTATCTCGTATACAGGATTTAAAAGTTTACTTTTTCTAATTGCAGTAAATCCACATTAAGCAATAAACACAAGACAAATTAATTAATAATACAAATTCGACAAGAGCATCAGTAGAGAAAACATTGTAGGAGAACTTGAAATGAACAGACAAAAAGGTGACTTGAAGCAACAAAACAAGCTTTACAGCGTGAGAGTTGTTTTCACAGTGGTGCCACTGGACTCATAAAGTCTGTTTGCAGATGTGTGCCTTGGTCCATATGGAACCGATTTATCCGTCTTCAGCCAGACATGTAGCCCAGGCTGGATATCCACCAATCACAACACCTGCCACTGCCAAAGTACCCACTCGTTAGCAACCAGTGCACAAGCTGGAAAGTCACAGTCAGTGGGATTATGGTTTTATGGCATTGTCCAAACTTTGTAGGGATGTCTCTGACATAATTTCCTGCTACACATCCATCCGAGTTACGTATATGTGAATGGACATCAGAATAACAATGAATATGGACTGATATGAGAACTGCAGTGTCTCAAGATATCATGTACTTTAATTGCATTGTTTCTTATGCATACATCATTTTGTTGGATTTGTAATATTAATAAATGTGTGTTTGATTATTTCAGGATGCTCTTCCTCCTCCACCACCTCCTCCACCTCAATCAGTGTCTTCAGCTGTGGGCGCTCTCGCCTTGAATGCTGGTCAGAGGCCGTCACCCGCTGCGGGTGACCAGAGTGGCCGTCAGAGACCCACAGTGTGAGTATAAAATAAAATGGACACACTTTAAATATGCAACTTTAATTCACTGTAGAGATACATACTGTTAGAAAGAGTATGAGAGGGTCCTTACATCTCTGACTTACCTCTCTGCTGTTACCCAGTGCCAGCCGAGCGTAACTGAGCACACAGGTGAGGGGTCAAAGGTCATGTCTAAGGGGAATAGGGTTGTCTCTGGGGACTTAACCTGAGCCCTGACCTCTCACCTTTCACCTTTTGTCTGCATATCAATTAAACACAGCCCTAAACATACCTGATTTCTGTTGGAGTCGCCCATAGTGCTCTGGGTGGAGTATGTTTATGGCCGTTATTCATGACATTCCCATTTTCAAGTTTTTAAAGACTTTATGCTTTTTTTTTTTTGTGTGTCCTTCCTTAGAAATTATTTTACAGTTTAGTGTTGAGAGTAGATTTGTTATGAATACGATGAATAGCCGTGTGGGAACAACGCCAACCCCTGTTTGATTAGCAGTACTGCATCTAAGTCAATTTCTCTAAATATAAATACTAAAACTCTAAATATTGATACATAATTAAAAAAAACAATTAAAAATGCAAATTGTTATTTCATTAAAAATGTATTTAAAGTAAATAAAAAATGAAACAAGAATGAATTAATCATTTAATAAATAATCAAATTTTTAATTAATAGTGCTTGACAGAATTAAATGAGTGTCTTTTTGTTTGTTTGTGTTATTTTAATGTTTGAAATTTGATTCTCTTTCAGGTACGTGGCGATGTTTCCCTACACGCCCCGAAAGGAAGATGAGTTGGAATTAAGGAAGGGGGAGATGTTTCTGGTGCTGGAGTGCTGTCAGGATGGCTGGTTTAAAGGAACATCCATGCACACCGGCAAGATCGGAGTGTTCCCTGGTAACTACATGAGTGCTGTCAACAGGTATGATACACACACACACACACTTGTACATGTTATCACTCATACACCCTGTAAGCTAAGGAAAGATTAGATTGTCCTCTGTGTTTCCAGTGAAGTATATCCTACAGGCACATGCACACCACACATAAAGTCTCCACTTGCAGATAAATCAGAGCTGGTCACGTTCACACATGGAATTGTTAAGGGAATGTTGCAGGTTCAATAAAAGTTACACTTTATTGACAGAACTCATCAATCATAATGTTGATTACCAATTGGAAAAAAAAAGTTAAATGTGAGATTAGTCAAAAAAAAATAAATATATATATATATATATATATATATATATATATTGCTAATGGGCATTTCGCCACAAATGCCAAATGCAAAGTTTCTTTTGCACTTGGGACATTCCTTTAAACTCAGCACTCTCTTGTGGCAGGATGATGAGGCATTTTTCATTCAAAAATTGTCTTCAAAATCTCTTTCTTACAGCTCCTCTTACAATTCCTATTAAATTTCGGGAGGTTTTTTTCTCATCAGACCTGTGATGTAAAAGAAATACAACTACATAAAACATATATATATATATATATATATATATATATTGCTAATGGGCATTTCGCCACAAATGCTGTCAATAAAGTTTCTTTTGCACTTGGGACATTCCTTTAAACTCAGCACTCTCTTGTGGCAGGATGATGAGGCATTTTTCATTCAAAAATTGTCTTCAAAATCTCTTTCTTACAGCTCCTCTTACAATTCCTATTAAATTTCGGGAGGTTTTTTTCTCATCAGACCTGTGATGTAAAAGAAATACAACTACATAAAGCACTTAAAATGTTCTTTTGGATGTTAAATGTACAGATGTTTCTGTTGATTTGCTGTAAAATGTGTTACAATGTCAAAAGATTCAGGAATAGCAGTGTCAGTTTAGATGGATGTCAGTTTAGGTTTAGTCTTAAACCTCACACTTCTCTGTTTTACTGCAGGACTGTTTCTGGCAGCAGTCAGCCAAAAGTTCCCCTGACCCTTTGCTCCCAGGCTGGACGTGGCGTCACCATTGTCAGCCCCTCCTCTGCTCCTCTTGGAGCCACCCTGGGGAGTGTCGACCCCAGCAAACCCCTTCCAGTCTGCCCAAATCCCACCCTGTCTTGCCCACTTCCTGCTGCTGTAGTATCAGCCGCACATATACCCACTGGACAGCACCCCAAAGTGCTCATGCATGTGACGTCACAGATGACCGTTAACCAGGCACGCAGTGCAGTCAGGACAGGTAGAATTACATGCACACACACACTTAATAACGAACATCACTCAGAATTTTTGTAAAAAACAGGCCTATTTGCTCGTGATATAATTAAATAGTTGTTTCAAATGTTTTTAACTCCTGCATTAAAATTAATTTGAGGAATAACGCTAAATATTTTAAAAGTAAAAAGAAAAGTTACAACTCTCCTGAAAAGCATCATTAAAAAAATAATTATTGAAAAGAAAACCTTCAATAGTTTGAGATATTTTTTACTATTTATATTTTTTTATTATCTCTTAGCAAACAATACTTAAAAAAATTAATAATCATGCACTTACATGCACTAAATTGTCACTAAATTGATACTTTTTGGGGACATTTTTTTAATTCATATAATAAAACCATATAGTACAAATAGTATATTTCTAAAAACTTGGCTTTTTTTTCTTTTTAACTACGTCTAAAAAAAAAAAACATCTTTATCATGGGCACTCAAATTTGTCATCAAATAAATCATCTTTCTTTTATTCCACCTTTTTTCCCCACCAGCTGTGTGTCATAGTCAGGACCGGCCTACGGCAGCAGTGACGCCCATCCAATCCCACAATCCTGTGTCCTACCTTCCTAGCACAGCTGTGGTTCTTCAGGCGTCACCTGTCCTCAGCTCCAGCCCGGGATCCTCCTCAGCCAGGGTCAGTGTGGCTATGGGCTGTGCCGCCGCCTCCTTGACCCCTCCTAATGTTAGCGCTGCTTCTTTGGACAGTGATGCCATGAGACCTGTCCCTGTGGTAGCACTTCCTGTGAACCCTGGCAGCACAAAATCTCTCGGTTCAGCCTCGAATCATGGTGTTGCTTGTAGACTGGATAAAGACTGCAAGGTGAGAACTGAAGGTGTTGAAATAAAGCGTTTACAATGTAGGTCTCATGGCCTCCTGAGTCTCTCTACAGCTTTTTTTTTAATGGTTTCTTTTACTTTTCCCTCCCATCAGTATTATCTGAATGTGCTGTGGTAAGGCATTTGGCAATTAGAAATTCTCTAAGTTTCACCTCATTTGCTGAGCTGGATAGTTATATAGAGCTGAAATCATCATTTTTTTCTATGATTCAGACTATTCTGCAAACTCAGAGGACACAACCCTGAGTCTTGTTCACTTTGGCTCGAAGTTCTGGGAGATTTCTTAGTACTCTTACATGTACGGTGTAGCTGACGCACAGATCTTCAGAGTTCACTTTTATAAACCTCCCTTTTTTTACCAGATCTCTTGATGATCTCTTTTTGTTTTGGATAGAGATAATACTAGAGGAAGGAATGAATGAAAATACTATAAAGAAAATGGAGTAAAATGAATAAAGCGAGTCATGGACAATAAAATAAGTACAAAAAATATTAAATCAAATAATATGATTGTGTCATGGCATTAGACTGGGTTTCCATCCACAGTTTTATTTTGATTTATTAATTATCGTTTAATTTTTGACTTTTTGCCTTTCGTTATTTATTATGAATAGAACAGTTTAATTCATGTGACTTTGCCTCAGTGAATATTTCACTCCGATTATTGGCTACTGTCACCTCCCCGAACATGGGAGTTGCTTCAGACATAAGCCATCTGTTGCCAATCACTAACAAACATGAAATTCAGCAGAGGTTTTTGTCTGTGTGCAAATCATTTATTACATTTAATTCTTTTGTGTGAAAATTTAAAAACAATTTTTTTTTAAGTTTTTGTTTTAGCTTCAGACTATGATTCTGTCAAGTTGGAGGATATTAAACATTTTTGATATTTTGAGCTGATTATAAAACACATTGTTTTCATCTGTCATGCATGTTCTAGCAACCTCACACATGTATCTGTGTAAGTTTGTGTGTTCGGAACAACCAGAAAGTCTGATCCTCAGTCGTTTAGTGTATGATGCCCAGTTTTTCCTCTGTAACTTTTTAGAAAGTCAGCAAGTGTACGGTGCCTAGTGTTTTAAATAGGTTCAGATTTCAAAAGTTGTGTAGTGTGTTACAGACTTTAGATGGAAACATTTCAAATATGTCATTTGATTTCCGTTGATGACATTTTCATTGACAGCTGGTAATCTTCAAAGATCCTGTGCTGATCATTGCATGTTTTGTGGAAAAGACTGTTTGCATTTAACCTCTTCATTTATACAGAATCAAACATGTGATTTCAGAGAGAAAAGAAAGGCTTACTGAAACTGCTGTCTAATAAAAAGAAGCTCCGCCCATCTCCCCCATCCTCCCCTACACTGGAGGCGGAGCAGTCTATTGCCATGGAAATGCCCCAGCGGGCAGTCGGACCTGAAATGGCTCCATCCAGCTCAGCAGCAGCAGTAGTGGCAGTAGGACACAACGGCCGTGCTGGGGTCTGTCCGATGGATCCTGAGCTCTCTGCATCCTCATCTTCATCAAACACAGATGCAGTGTCACACAGAAGCTGCTCCCAGGACAACACTGCCCCAATCGCCCCGCCTCCACGACAGCCATGCTCCTCCCTCCTCTCCATGCAGCATGATGGCCGGCCAATTGTTTGTGAAAGGTACAATAAAAGCATGTTCAAAAAATGTAGTATGATTTTTAAAACTATCTCTTTATCGTTATAGTTATTGTGTTTGATGTGAACAGGCCTTAACACCCACAAATCAACATTCAGACGTCATACTTGAGAAGAAACATTTCCTGACTTCTAAACATGGCATTTTACCATTCGTCCAGGTACCGTGTGGTGGTGTCCTACCCTCCCCAAAGCGAAGCAGAGCTGGAACTCAAGGAGGGGGACATTGTGTTTGTGCACCGAAAACGAGAGGACGGCTGGTTTAAAGGAACATTACAGAGAAATGGCCGAACCGGGATGTTTCCTGGCAGCTTTGTTGACAGTATCTAACGCACATGGTGTCTAAGAACATAGTATTTAGATATTGAATTCTCCTTCACTGAAAATACAACTTTAGCCTTAATAGTTCGAATTGATGAGCAGCAGTGATCAGTAGAACTGGGCTGCTTATGACTGTTGGCGCAAAGTATGAGGGTCATCAGCTGCATGGATTTGACCTCAGTCTTATGAAAATCTCAAAACCAACTCGACCGGTCCTAGTGGTTCAGCATTAGATTAAATACTTTTGCTGAAACACGGAAGCAACCAAGTTTTAGCCATTCGCACTAGGCACCCTATTTTTAGCACAGTAGATGAAGTTGTGATGGGATTCGTTAATTTATGCATCTGTAACATTTCAAAGACGTTTAATGTGTGCCCTTGTACTGTCTCACTTTACTGTATATAAGCAAAACGAAGAGTCATGACAAGAACAATATGAATTTTCTTCATCTGAAAAACATTTAACTTATTTTTATTTTGTAGGAATGGAGGTTTTTAGGGACAATTTGTTATGTGAGCCCATTGGTCAAATGCCTGTAGAGTCTGAATAATGTCACTGTTGGTCATTTGCTTGAAATAAAATAAAAAATCAATACTAGATGAAGAGCCGAATGAACTCACAAAGGTTGGTTTGACCATCCATATCTACTTCATCCTGCATGTATTTGGCTCTTTGAGTCATATAGGATGAGGAGTGAGGACACTGCAGGCCTGTAGTCTCATGTTCTGATTGGTTGTGGTGTGTGTAAACGCTGATATGGCTTTTGTGAAGGTTTGCTGTAGCTACACTGAGCGAGGGAATGAAGGTTAGCATATTATTATTTTTAAAAGATTACACTCAAGACATTTTAATCAAATATAACTAATTTTCCTTTGCAATAACACTATGGCTTTTTGGTAGTAGAAAAGCTGTTGAGCAGAACAGAAACAATCACTCAGAGTAAAAGCACAGAGACCCCGATATCTTACAGTGGTAATGCCATTATGCTTTTGTGCACACGTGTTTTTTCCCTCTCTGGTTTAGTTTCCTTCAGAATGTTGTACCGGCCCGTACATGGATACACAACTGACCCAGTGGTCTTTGTTTGAGCTACCGAAAATCACCTTTACATACCATAGCATTATAAACTGCCTGATTTTACATGAGTGAAAAAAAAATGTTTTTTGCTTCTCTTTAAGTCAGGTTTGTTCTGATGTTGTCTGCTGTACTTTAGTATTTTATGTGATATTTCATGTTTTGTGTACTTGAAAATGGTGTTTGTGTATTTTTTATGCTTCACACAGTAGATGAAATGTTGTTGTTATTATTATTTTGAAAGCACAAAAATGGTCTTTGGTCATTTTGATTAATTTTTTCCCCCTGTTGTTGTCTTGATGCCTTTACAACTAACAAGATGGCCTTCATTTGTTGTATTAGTGAAATTTACCAAACCACCTGTTAAAAGGTTTTATTTTGATCATTATTCTCTGTGTTTTTGATCACTGGTTTCCATCTCCAGTCATAAACCACATGTTGTACTGTTGCTACATAGATTAATCCACCCACATAAGGAGCATTTCACCCCTTACGAAAATTAACCATGTTTTTTTTTTTTTGTAGTAACCATGGTTTAACTGTGGTTTTTCTACAGTATTAACTACAGATTTAGTTATTTCTTACTCGAAATAATTACTTAAAATTAAACAATCAAATTTGGCAAATGTGTTACACCAAATAACATTATAAAACTCAGCTTTTATGAAAATGCAGCCATAATATCAGATGCATGTTACCTTCATGTTTTAAAATGAACAGGAAATGAACTACTAACAAGCGGTTTGCGTGACACAACGTGAAACCAGACCTCATTTGCCCCAATCGAAAGCATATTTACACTGTCTGAATCCTTCCCTATTGCCTACATTGTGCCCATTGCCCATTGCCCATTGCCCATTCGCCGTACACTGTGAACAAGTGACCGATCTCAGCCGCAGCTTCAGCGTCTATTTATAGTGCAGGGGGCGGGCGCTTCGGATTCTAGAGAGCATTTATTGGTCAGAAGATTTGATGAGAAGATGAAGTGCGAGGTGACGTCAAAAAAAACGTTGATCCAATTTGGCGGAAGTGACGAAGTGCAACCTTTGCTTATATCTTCTAAATCCGAATTCTGTCACTGGTTTGGAGCACACTGCCTTCTAGATAACCTTAAGACTAACATATTGATACTAACACCCAAAAAAATTTAATTTTGATTTAACGGGGTCTTTAACTAAGGGACCAGCACCAGTTCAATCGAGAGGATGTGCTGGTCCTTCAAGAGTCTCAATCTGTCCATTCATAAAAAAAAAAAAGCCTATGATTCTTATTAAGTGGGGGGTCATATTTCAGGATGTGGTAGCAAAGTCTCTAAGAACCTGACACCTTGCACTTCTGGAGTCTCCAGAAGTAGGTTGCCATTCTGGAATATGGTGGCGCTGGAGACTAAAAGGGTTCCTGATGGGTTCACACCTAATTCTTCATTTCTTTTTTTTTTTGCAGAATTAAAATTCATACTTTTAAAATTAAGAATCTAATGAAAGTGTGTTTTTTTTTCTTTTTTACAGGATCCTATGTACCCAGCCTCAACCATTCATCAGAAGGACTGTGAAAGTGGGAACTCTTTGAACCACCAGTGGCAGTTTCCACGGGATGAAAAGGGCATAGTAGTGGATGATGGGGGTACTGACATTAACCTGCCAAAAAAGGTTCATCTATAGCATTGCCGTGAAACCCCCTTTTTGGTTGTTCCTGGCACCTTTTTTTAAAGGGGTTGTATCGCGCTGCGTAAACAAAAAAATGTCTGCATTTGTGATCGGAGAAATGACAAACAATAAGCGCTACTCTCCACTGCTCAAAACTCGCGTTTGAATCATCAGTGGCAAATCCTTTAAATATGAAAAACGTACTTACAGTCTGTG